ACAAAGGAGAGGAGGAATGAAGTAAGGAGGTGAGGAGGAGGAGGCAGAAAATGGAGAAAAAGAAGAGAAAGGTTAGTGTGGTTTAAACACACCGCCTGCAGACAGAATGCAGTTAGGCAGAAAGGAAAAGCTGATGGCGACTTTCTCTGAACCAGAAAGTGTCGAATAATTCAAACCCGAAAACAGAACACTCTTCGGGATCTGTGGACGAGTCTTTGATTGTTAGAAATAACATCATGTTGAAATCCTGCACGCTTCAGTCACGCTCCTGTACTTTAATGTGTCGGGGTCTCGGAGCGGGGCTGCGTTGGCAGTATTAAGTTGTAACCAATCATCGTCCCAGCCCAAACTGCAGCTCCTCTAGTGGCCACTAGATGCCATAAGTGAGCACCCGCAGACTCCCAGCTGGCTACACGAGCTAACATCACTGAAAATGAGACGACTTACAAAAAAGGTCTCAAATTAAACGTTTGCTATTCGGGTTTGTCTGTGTTTGTTCTAACCAATGCCGCGCCAAACCCTGCAGACAAACAGCATAAAATGATGCAAGCACGCAAAGGGTTAAAGGTCACACAGAAGGGCTGTGGTTTGCTGTGATTTCAGCAAAGAAACCCGATTAAAACCTTTCTAGAATAAAACATTCCAGTTTAACAGCTGGATGGACGACACACAGCAGCAAACTGACAGTGAAGCGTCACTTACATGAACACTGAGCTTCTTTTTCAAAGGTTCATTTCTATCATTTATCTGAATGAAAAGAAAACCTTTGGAAACTCTGAGAAAACAGCACAAACGGGAAAGCTGGAAAGCACATTTGTATATTTGGCAGGAAAAGCTGTGCTGGCGTAATTATCCGGGGATGGAAAGATGAACTTACTACTATTGTTGCTGTAATTAAAATATGTTTATCTGCAACTACATATATAAACAAATGTTAAATATTACAATATTATTACAGCTTGAACTTTGTGGATCACTTTGAAGATTGTGTGGTTAATTTATATTTTGTTCATGTATCCACCTCTGCACGCTCTACAGCTGTTGAAGAAGCAGCAGCGCTGCAGAAAACGTCATTTTAAATATAAATAAAGATTATAAATAAAACCAAATGATTGCTCCTGTAGAGGCTGTGGGGAGGCGTACCTCTGAAACATATACAACCAGACACGCTGGGGCTCCACAGCTGGCCCAAGCCGGTTAACAGGAGTAATCCACCAATCAGAGAACGAGGTGAATCAAATCCACCAGTAAGAATGCTCCAAACCTTATGAGCTGATCTCACTGACATTAACTGCCGCTGTCGCTACCCGATCCGTACCGGAAACCCGATCGGTACCCCGCATGCGCGAAAGGTGTCTACTTCCGGTCGAAGCGTTTTACGATAGTTACAGGTCAGAGTATCTGTTAAGATGTTAATAATATGTTAATAATAATAAGTATCTCTTAATATGATGTAGACAAAAACTAAAAATCGGGTTTCCGGTACGGATTGGATAGCGACAGCCCACACCTGTTTCAGTGAAGCAGCACCCAACGTTGCCATGGTGATGGAATTCTATGTAGCTAACTGTAACTGTGGCCGCTCTAAAATCCAGAGCCGTTGGATGGAAGAGTTGCGTCATCTCCATTCACTCTAATGGACCATCTTTGTACAGCAATGGTGGATCATGGAGCAGTAATATCATAAGTTAGCAACATAGGCTAGCTGTGGCATAGAGGTGTAGCAGCACGGAAGTTTGAGATGAATTTTTCAAAGGTAAGAAGTTAAACACGAGTCTGTATGTTATCAGCACACAGTCCAACTGTCCACAGGAACTATTTAAAGACTGCACGACCCACATAAGAATTCTGAACCCCTGCTGACAGGACTCTCACTTACTCAACAGCTCTGCTAAAATCGAGAGCATAGCTGCTATCGACACAGTTTATGGACCGCGGGCGTCCCAACAAGTTGCTCCACATATGAATGTGTTTTTGTTTTTTGCTTCTAAAAGTGACACTGTGACAGGGAAAACTAATAAAGTAAAAAATGTGCGTTCACCAGCAGGTTAAAGAGAAAACATGTCTAGCTTCTCCCACTCTGTCAGTTCTGCAAACATCTGATCGATTTGAACAGGATGCATCTGTGACAAATGATGCTACAGGCCAAACAAGGAAGAGTAATTATCCAGTGACAACATGTGGTGGGAGGCAGTTGCTGGGTGATGTAATCAACAGTTCCTTAACTGTCAGAGTCCACAGATCGAGGACGATGTTCTGAAAGACTGAAACTGGTGAAGCAAACCATCCTTGATGGGAAACAGCCTCAGATGTTTTAAAGTCAAATATTAGTAAATCATTTTTCAGAATAAAAAACATTTGCCGTTTCAAAGATACTGTATCATATTTCCACGAGTCTCTCGAGTGCTTCTCTAGCTCAGCATGAGAACAAAGGTCAGGTGAAGTTTAAGTGTTTACCGCTCCGGTGGATGGAGACGGGCGAGGTGTCCACACTGATGGTCATGGCTCTCTCCTTCTGCTTGAAAAACTCTCGAGGGTTTCCTGACCGCTGAGCGATGATGGCCTTCGCCTCCTGGAAACACAAAATAAATACAGAGTGCCGCTTTTCTTCCTCTTAAATGTTCTGCGGCCGTTTCTGGAGACGCTCTCTTTCATCATTCTCCAAACTGACCTCTACCTCAGATTCCTTCTTGTCCAGGTTGAGGTCCTCGATGCTCGGCTCTGCTACCTGAGGAGAAGAATCCAGTGATTCACATGTAACACAAAGCAGAGAGAAGCCCGTTCATCTGTGAATAAATCAGTCAGACGTCCTGAAACAGCAGACAAATGAGCTGCACGCTCCCACCAGCAGGGGGCGACACAGACTGTTTGTATCCACTGATACTTTCCACTATTTGCAATCTTACACTCAAAGAAAGGTGTTTAGATTTTACTGTGCCACACAGACTCGGATTAAGATGCTCGGAGGCCAGGAGCCATCAGGCAGCTGATTGGTAGATATTCTGTAAAGTAACACACGTCTAATCACTCGCTTCGCTGTCACACAAATTAGCCTCATATCTGTGTGGCTGTGGACTCGGGCAGTGTGAGGCTCTGTTTGGAGGCAGAAATAATAACAGAAACCAACTGGAGATGAACAAACTGGTGATTACTAGTTTCACTTAGCAAATACTTACTACGGGGGTCTGATTCCGCAACCTCTCTTTGGCCTCTTCCTCCTCCTGCATCTTCTTTCTGTTCACACACAAACACAGATTATAGATCATTGTGATCCTGGAAAACACGATGTACCATCATCCTGTCATTCGTGCACACGTGAACCTTTTGACCAAAAAATGATTGTGTTCATTGTTTGTTTGATGATTGTTGTGCCGTCGCTCCTCACCTGTGCTCCTCGATCTGCCGCTCCCTCTCGCGGTACCTCTTCTCTCGGTTCTCCTGCTCTTTCCTCTCCAGCTCCATTCGCTCCTCCTCGAAGCGCTGCCGCTCCTCTGCCAACTTCTTCTTCTCCTCCTCCTTCCTCATCTCCTCTTCACGCTGGAGACCGGACACACACAAATGACCTCTTTCAGAGTTGTAATAAATCTCTAGATCAGTTAATTAATAAAGCCAGGTCTTATCTGAGTGTCTGAAACAGTGAAGGGCAAATCTGGCAAACATCCCACGGCTCGGTGACGCTCGCTGTCATTTCGTGTTTAACTTGAATGAGACAATAGCGACACAGCCGGAGGAAGCAGCGACATCTGACTTCGTTTCTCACGTCTACCCAAATATATCTGTGATTCACATTATACTAAATAACTGTCACATATAAGGACACAGTTTATTAAATACAGTGTGAGATAAAGTTTCGTTTTACAGGTATTCTCAGCACCTTTGAGAGTATTTCAGCAAAACATATATGCGCTTATCTTCTAGCTTAGTAGCCTGGCTTAGCTTGAATCAGCTGGCAAACTGACACCTTCAGTCTTGATTAACAACCAGGGGTAGAAAACCCCAGGAGCTATGTGGAAAATAACTACAACAATTACATTTAATTAAAGAACTAAACATGTTTGATCAGAAAAGTTGGCAAAAGTAATGAATACGTCAGAAAACTATTGAAATCGCTATACACTATACATAATATAAGTGCTTATATACCTGCTAGCTTAGCAGGTTAGCTTAGCTTTAATCAGCTGGCAAGTAAAATAACCGTCAAGCAACAGAAAAAAATGGTTGAAACAAATATATAACTAAACAAATACAGTTGTTAGCTAAAAAAAATAACCAAATGTAAATGTGATTCGCATTATATTGACATTATGGTTGTTAAATGCTACATAAAATACCATGTCTGGATAATGAATATAAAGGTTAGCCTAGCAGGTTAGCTAACTCCCCACAG